AAGGTTTTCTCCAGATTCCAGGTGTATGGCGTGCTGATATGTAGACATTCCACCAGCTTACCACCTGCTTCAGCAGAGACAGAAGTTCAATCAGGGAGAAGAAAGGAAGGGACCTCATACTCATAAAGGTTGAGAACAAAAGGTCTTGGTCAACGGCTTTTAATGATCTACTGAAGATCTCACAGTTCTAAACACATATATCTTCAGTCTGTCTGTCTGTGTCCCACCTCTGGGTTTTACGTCCCACTTTTCTGTTTTGGTTCTGTTAAGGGCCATCTTGGGGATTGAACCCAGAGCCTCGAGCATGTGGGGCAGGAACTCTTCCACTGACCTACATCCCTAGCTCTATATTTGGATTTTAAAGAGTTCAAAACACAAGAAAGCCAGTACTTTTCCATTTACATCAGCAAGCAAGATTTATTACTCCCCACACCCAAATAGAAGATTAATTTCTTTATTGGCTGACAGGGTATGTCAGTCAGCTTTCTGTGACTATGACAAAGTACCTGAGAAAAACAACCATGAGGTCAAACCTATCTAAACTCAGTTTCTGATGTTTCAGTCATTTGACCTAGTTGCTTCCAGGCTGGCGAGGCAGGCCATCATAAGAGGAAAACACAGTACAGAAAACTGCTCACCTCATGATAGCCAGGAAGCTGAGAACACAAAAGTAGGAAGGATTATGGGTAAGCAAGAGAGGAGATAAAAGAGGGAAAGAAGAATAGATGGGAGAGAAAGGAGGGGAGGAAGAGGAAGAGAGAGAGACTAGGGATGAGATAAAGTTATACACATTAGTCATGGCTCCAGTGACCTACTTTCTCCAGCCAGGTCACACCTCCTAATAACTTAGCTATTTAAATTACCATTTAGCCATGAATTGGTTAACCCTTTCAGGAAGTTAGAGTTCTTATTATCCAATCCCCTCAATAATGCTGCCATAGAGGGGATCCAAGACTTAAACACATGAACTGTGGGGGACATGTCACAGTCAAACTATAATATAGGATCCTTTGATATGAATCACAGTACCTTTTTTATAGCACACATTCAAGTACCTGGGTCAATAGAGATGTTTCACTCACCAAATAGAATAATCCATTTAAAAGTGAGGACATTTAGGTCTAGAAAATAACTGTGTAGCAAAGCACTTGCCTCATATGAGGTTCTGGGTTCAGTCCCCAACACACACACAGTCTTCCTTTTGAGAATTATAGGACACATTACATAGAGAAGTCCAATTCAAACTGACTTCAAAATTTCCCCATTGCAGTCTAGTTTCCACAGTGCCAAAAGGTGATATATAGGCCCTTGGGAAGTCATTGATGGTAAGAGACATCAGTGAACTTTAAACACTACAATACAGACCTGCAAGGTAGGATGTGCCCAGGAGTGTAATAGTGGCATGAAGGTTAGAGGGGTAACCAACTACTTTCTCATTCAATCTGAGGCATGTTCCTCGGGAGGGAATTCATGCCTAGTCCTGTAAGTAAACCTGGTCAAAATCCCATGACTCCAGATATCATAGGCCCTAGGAGGGAACCTACTACTATTACTTTACTAAATTAATGTTTATGTTTGTTTTCATAGATTAGTATTCCCTTTCTGTGTTGGGCAGCAGTTAATGCAGAGACTATTAACTGGTCAAAATGTAGAAAATAAGTGATGTTTGGCTGTTTGGCCTTAAACGGGACATCTATATCAAACCCCTCCCATGAGGCCCAGGGAACATCTCAGAAAAGGAAGTAGAATGCTATGAAATGCTGTGTTCTGAACAGGACTCGGGCATTAGACTCATGAACTCACAGCTGTTATGGTTACATACCTGCACACGATCTACATAAGATCAAGAGAACAAGACCACTCAATATTCCAGTATCTCTAATTGGACTTAATGGGCTATGAAATTTTTTAAACTTAAGGACATGAAAGTGGGAAGGGTGGTATTAAGAGCAGAGTTGGGGGGAGTAGAGAGGGAAGTTGGGATAGAGATACATTGTGCACATGTATGAAATTGTCAAGGAATAAGAGATTTAAAGATTTTTTTTTAAGTATGAAAAAAAAGTGGTTGCTTTGTCCCATTGTCTTGAATAAGACCTAAGAGTGGGGACTTGTGGCAGGGTGAAAGCCAGAGGCTTGCAGGCCTCACCTGGTGGGTCCTCTGGCTGCAGCAGCACCATTTCCCCCAATCTGTTTACAGCCAAAGAGTTCATGCAGACAAAAGTTTTCTTTGCTTGAAAAACACCTCTCTAGAGAATTTAGGTCAGTTTTCAGTTTCCCAGAAATTAATACATTTGTTTACCTGACAGAGTGCTTCCATATCACCAGAATCTAACACTTTAATCCAACTTTAGTGCACAAAGCTGTTTTCTCCTCCAAATGCCTGGCCTTGGGCGGCTTATTGCAATAAGTATTTTTGGAGCACCTCGACATGTGTGCTTCTGCTACCGGCAGTTTGGGAACTCCCAGGCATGTCAATCCTGTGTTCTTTACAGATACAAATTGCCCTCACCCGAAAGGGAAAGTAAGGTGCAGAACAGTGCGAACCCTTAAAGTAACCCCTGCACTGTTTCTCCTTAAACAAAAATGTCCATAGGAAGGGCATATGTCTCCATGGCTCCTCCTCCCCAGCGTGCCTCCTCTATTCTCAGTCCTCAGGGACCCACTCCCATCACCTTTCAGGCTTACTGTCTCTTCCTCAGGAATTCCCCTCTGTTCTAGTAGCAAACAGATGGGAGAGTGGGAGCAACCAAGTAGAGGCAGGAGAAAGAAGTCTGTAATCATTGCAGGTGTGGGGGAACCTTCTCCAGTCATCTAAGACTTACTTCATAGGCCCTGGGGACCTGGTGGAGAACTGGACATGACATTCCTGCCTTCCTGGAGCCATGTGCTTCCCTTGAAGGGGGAAAAAAAAAAAAAAAAAAAAAAAAAAAAAACGTGCACAGTAACCATGTTAAGAAGCAACAAGAGAGCCAGCATAGTAGACCACATCTTCAATCCCAGCATTCTGGAGGGAGAGGCAGCCATGTCTGTGTGAGTTTGAGGCCAGTCTGGTCTACACAGGGAATTCCAGGACAGCAGGACTACACAGTGAGACTTTGTTAAAAGGAGGAGGAAAAAGAAAAGGAGGAACAACAGCAGTGGGAACAAAGAATGTTGTCCATGTCCATGAAGCAAAACAGTTTGACAGACCCCTAGTGACAAGGGTGCTACTAGGTGATCAGGAAATGTTCAGTCCCAAATAACAAGAAGATACCAGCCATGCCAAACCCTGAGAGAGAAGTTGAGCCACAGTGAACAAGATACACCAAAGCCCTGGGTCAGAAAAGAGTTCAGCATACTCCACAAGCAGGAAAAGAGCCAACATGGCAAAGAACATGGATGAGGGACAGTGGTAAAGAGGTGAGTGGGCCTGTCCATAGGCTTCCTGTGTCAAGCACATGGAGTTTTGGTAAATGTAATGGGAAGCCATTGGAAGAGTCTAAGTAGGGGAATGCCAGCTTTAAGCAGAAAGGGGCTGCTGAGTGCTTGGGCTGGCTTGGGAAGACTTTTTCCCCAGAACAAGAACTTCTGAGTCCAGAAACAGAAGCAGGCTTGGGGAGAGTGGGGCTTAGCACATTTACTGAGTTTGTATCTTATATCCCAGGCCTCAGAGAGCTATCAGGGATTTCTGAGCAGCAGGACATGGCCAAACAGCCGGCCTAGAGGCCCTATCTAATCCACAGAGATCTCTGCTTCCCCTCCCAAAATCTTACCCCAATTTGTTCAGCAATTTCTTAATATATATGATTCACCCTCATATATACACCCAGGTGTCTACGTAAACTGGGAATCTTGAAGAGCTAGCCTTTAAACTTGTCAAGAACTGTGACAGCCGACAGCCACATTCAATTGGGTGTGTTCTCTGGAATGACTCAGTGACTGAAGGAAGCCACATGGGAATAGACTGAGGAGGAAGATTCTCAGTTAGCCATGCCCAGGGGATCTGGGTGCTTCTGGACTGAAGCCATGTCACACAGTGAACATCCATCTTAGCATCAAGATTTTACTCTAATGATGACGCTGGGGCTCATGATATCATGAAGGATGTTCTAGAAAAGAGAAGACTCTTCAGCTCTCCCAAAACCAGACCATGGAAGCTGCTACTTGCTTTACTTATATACAGCAAGCCTAGATTATCACTTTAGTTAGCCAATGAAAACAGCCTGATTCTATAGGTGGATGCATAGCTGAAGGGTTTTTGTGTGAGCCTGGTGTCTTCTCATCTCAGGCTGTCTGTACACTTAGTGTTGTTTCACACCAGGACACTTGGCTTAGCTACCAGTTGCTTCTGAGACACAAAGTGCCAGCCTTGTCTCCACTGGCCTCAGTACATCTTCAAGGGACCACGCTTTTCCCATAGAGTAATCTTGAGTAGAGAGAAGAAGCAGGAAGGGCGTAGAGGGGCCAAGTGTATGTGACACCCCACACATTCACCTCAACTAGAATCATCTGAATGCTTTCTTTTCCTAAATGCTTTCCTAAATGTGCCACCCTTTAATCCAAAAGAACAAGAAACAAGCTGGGGAAAGTGCAGTGCGAGGGTCTTGGAAGCCTACTGCTAGCTTTCTGAGAAGGGTCGAAGCCATGAGGGATTGAGGCGGGGGTGCTGGGTTGAAGCAGTTGCAGAGTGGGTTTCAGTTTAGGAGGTTGTGTGTGGATTTCACACGATGCTCTCAGATTTCAGACAAAGCCAGAGGAGGTATAGGCTGTATTCTGAGCCAACTTCAAAGCCAGGATTGGTGGGAGGTGAGTCATGGATTAGAAGAGGCCACACAGGTCTCTGGACTTTAAAAAACCAGGAAGCAAAACCCTGTACCCCCAGCTATCCCTGCTGGGACTCCAGGCTGCCTGCTTCTACTCACGAGAATTCTAGAAATTCGACCCTTTCTGCTCACTTCTGTAGCTGGTATCAGAAAGTACTCCCTCCTAGAACCAGGAGGCCAAACTTACTCACCAGAGCCATGCCTTGCCCACCCCAGAGCTCAGATGAGCTGGTGTTCTTTGTGAACGGGAAGAAGGTAAGTAATGGGTAGAGTTAGCGCTGTGGCTTGCAGCAGGACACCCCTGGCTCCAGGGTGCTCTGAGGAATCTGGACTGAGGCTCCCAGTCCGGGACAAGAAGCCCAGTTCAGGAACCCATCCTGACTTGACTTTTCTTCGTTCAGTCAACACTTGGGTCCTGGCAATGGGAAGAGATAGGAGAGCCCTGGACTCTGCACAGCCCCGGTGCTGTCAGTCAACGCACACCGCACTGCCCTTTATTATATAACCTGATGCAAATAACTTTACCTCCATGAGCTCCTAGTCCTCCTGCAGCATCTGCTTCCCACAGCTGCTGTAAAAAAAAAAAATGCGAAGGAAGCTCCTCCTGCCATTGGTCAGGAAGCAGTTCACCCTGTAACTCAGTTCCAGGTTCAAACTCCAGAAGTTTTTAAAGGGAAATGGATCTGTCTTTGTTTTTCTATTCATCAAATCAATTTCTCTATGGCAATGGTTCTCAACCTTCCTAACGCTGTGACCCTTTAATACAGTTTCTCATGTTGTGGTGACCCCAAGCATAAAATTGTTTTGTTGTTACTTCATAACTGTAATTTTGCTGCATGCATTGTAATGTAAGTATCTGTGTTTTCCAATTGTCTTAGACAACCCCTGTGAAAGGGTCATTAGACCACCCTCCCCCAGGGGTCATGGCCCGCAATTTGAGAACTGTTGCTCTGTGGAGTCCCCACTATATAAGAGTGTTGAAATAGAAGTGCAGTCAGCCTGGAGGCCCCTCTTTCCCTGGGTTTCAGACTGTTCTCCAGGAATACATGGACAAGAACAGAGCCTCTCAGTTGCTACTCCCTGAGAGCCTACTCCCTGGCCTCACCACCCCCTCACACAGGACAATGGCTACTTTTAGAGTGACCAGGCCCTTCTTGTCATTAGCTCCCTTCTGCCCTCCAAGAACACATAGCTTTTATGGAGTCTCCTTACCTCCCTCCAGGAGCCTTTCAAACCTCTGACCTACAAACCTAACCAGGACTCAGTCATGTCTACCCCACCTCAGGAGCCAGCCCAAGGTAGCACCCAGAGCCCTGGAGAGCTCCTCACTGTCCTGCACACATTCCCTCCTGACTGTAGCCTCCTCAGGCAGCCACTGCCACACCCTTCTACAGCCATCACTCATGAGCTGAGTTATAAATGACTTTTTCCAGCTGACCTGAACAAGGAGTTGCTCATGGACCCCAGACTGATAGCTGGGAAACCAGCATAAGACTGTTCCAGACCCCCTGAACGAGGTCAGTTTGGAGTTCTGGACAATCTATGGGGCCTCTGGTAGTGGATCAGTATTTACCCTTAGTACACAAATGAACTTTGGGGGCCCTCTCCACATGGAGGGTTACTCTCCCAGCCTAGACACACTCGGGAGGGTCTAGGCCCTGCTCCAAATGATATGACAGACTTTGAAGATTCCCCCATGGAAGGCCTCACCCTCCCTGGGGAGCAGAGAGGGGATGGGATAGGGGACCGGTGGGAGGCAGGGGAGGGGGAGGGAGAGGGAACTGGGATTGACAAGTAAAAGAAGCTTGTTTCTAATTTAAATAAAAACAAAACATAAAAAATAATAAAAATAAATAAATGGCTTTTCCATTTGGAGACCCAAAAGCCAGAGGGGGTTCCTTCCTCTGTCAGCCCAGATCAAATTATGAACCCATAGTGACATGGCTGTAGCCAGAACAGAGAATAAGTCTACAGATGGGATGGAAGGGGGAAGAAAAGTCCATGGTGGGAGTCTGTGGCTAGTTTGTAGGGGGTGGGGCTGTTTTTAAAGGGCCTGAGGTGAGAGTGAGGGCCACAGAGGAGAGGTTTTATTGTTCCATTGATGAGGCACCTCCCCCAGCCCCAGGGAATGAGTGAATGGTTCTCACCTCAGAAGCATCTTCCCATAGATTTCTAGTCTTTGAGTTGTGTAAAAGTGAGTGTCTCCCTTCTGAAGAAAAAGTGAGCTGCTAGTGTTGGCCCACTGAACCTTCTTTTTCTGTCCTATGACATTCCACATTCCTGTCACGCAGTAGAGTGACAAGACATGTTCACATGACATCCCAAGGCAAAGCAAAGTGATGCAAATAGGAAAAAGAAAACAACAAAGTTCCCCGGGTGACTTTTGGTATTAACACCCCACTTTCCAAATGAAGAGATGGGAGAAATCTGATGTCCCACTAGAGCCATTCCAGGTCTTGAGCAGGGTATCAAGGCTCACCAGAAGGCCCCAGAGGCTCTCCAATATAACAGTAACTTTCCCCAGTGAGTTTCTGTGGCAAACTCTAGAGCCCTGAGGTCATCAATGTTTCCCGCAGCTATCCCAGAGATGGCAGAATGTCCCGTCCAGCTTTCCTCCCTATGGGACCCGCTCTAAACAAACACAGTCCAAGTTTAGAACACTTCCAAAGACTCAGCTGGGAGGTTCCACGAGGTCAGATGGCAGAGAAAATGTGGAAAATGCAGAGTGCAAGTCCCAAGATATCATCACACCACAGTGGCTCCTGGCTCCTGCCCCACAGAAAAGCCCATTGCTACACTGACCACGGGAGGCACCTGCCCTGTAAATGAACACCGTTTCCTCTCAGAGCAGTCTGGGCTTCAACATCCCACCTCCTACATCACACAGATCAAGCAGGCCACTACAGACATCCTACTGAGTCATCCATTCAATCCCATAACCTCTCCTGTTCCAACGCAGGTGATGGAGAAGAATGTGGACCCGGAAGTCACTCTGCTGGCCTTCCTGAGAAAGAACTGGATCCTTTTGATTGAAATCTCAGCCATGTCTATGCATGCCTTACAGAATTTAATAACTTGAGCCTCTGTGGCTATGAGAGGTGATCAAGATCCAGCCAGCCCTTTGCTTTTGGCAGTGCCTTGAAGAATATCAGGTTAATTGGGCTAGTTTAGAGAGGAGAAAGGTTCCCATCATTGCTTATGTGTGATTGAATAGCATGAAATAGAAGCTAAGGGGTTTGTTTCAGCTCTGCCACAGGGGTGTTATGTAATAGAGACTCCGGTTGCCTGTGACCTGCCCTTTACAAAACCATATTCTCAGATCTAAGGATTGACTATGAGAAGGAGAAAGATTTCTTTACTTTAAATCTATTTTCTTACACCAGATTTGCCCCCACCATCTTATATCCTGGATCACAGATCTTCATAAGGATAAACGTATTTTAATTAGTAAACCTGATTGATTGCTCAGGGAAGCCAAAATATAAATAATGAAACTAAATGATAGGAATAACATATTGATGAGATTGGCCTCTGAACAACTTTTGTTTGGTTTCTCATTAGCTGTCAATATTTGAAAATGAGGACATTTTGTGTTTTAGCCAATCAAGACTTTGTTGGGCAAATGCAGAGGTGGCAAACCCTTCACACAGCGGTTGTGCTTGGAGCTGGCTGAGGACTGTCCATGAAAGGAGGCTCAGGATCTCAGTTTCTCACCCAGGATCCTCTTCACTTATATAACCCTCTGATCTGCATTTGAAGTTATGAACCAATGACCCCATTAGAAAAAAACAAAAACAAAAGGCAAACACTAGCAAGGAATCGATGAGTTTAATGTCTCATTTATATTTTAATCACAGCTGATCAAATAACTTTGTGGAAACACAGTTAGGAAGAAGAGTAAGTATAGAGACAGAGCCAAGGCAGAGCCCAGCTTTGGGATTACTTGGAAAGAGTTAGAGCCTGAAGGCAAGGATATGAATGAGACCTAGAGAGCCATCATCCATATTCAGATGTGATGCAGCCAGAGGAAGGCTAGGTACCAATGCCTTGACTGGCTGCTCTTGCAGAGGTTCTGAATTCAGTTCCCAACAACCACAGGGTGGCTCACAACCATCTGTAATGAGATCGGGTGCTCTTTTCTGGTCTGCAGGGATACATGCAGCACACTATATACATAATAAATAAATAAATCTTAAAAAAAATAGTTCTCCCCTGGTTACATGATTAGAGCCAGAAGAAGACTAAGGATACCCTATAATGAAATAGGGTTTGTCGAAGGAGTTTCACCTTAAACCTCACAAGATGCTTATAGTGAGCCTGCGACGGGGATGTAGGTATCACTCCTCCCTCTCCCCAAAGGGAAACAAGCCAGAATGGGCTAATATGTCCAGGGCCACACTCCAATCAAATGGCTTCTCAGACTGTGTCTACCCCATGACACCTTTCACACTAGTGACACCTTAGGGAGGCAGGTATCTCAGAGGCAAAATGTCACTTTGCAACTTTTCCTTGACTTCTCCCTTTCCAGTACGCCTCACAGGAACCAAGTATGCCTGCGGAACTGGAGGCTGTGGGGCTTGCACTGTGATGGTGTCTAAGCATGACCCGGTGTCCAAGAAGACAAGGTAGCTACCCAAGGTTCAGTAACTAGGTCTCTGCCTTACTTCTCTTCTACCATATAACTAAAAAAGACCAGATCCTTGGAGTTTCGCCTTCTTAGATACCACAGAAAATCCCCACAAATGCTGTAAGCCCTCTGATCTGATAATGATAATTGCCCTCTGCACATCACTTTTGGGGTACCAAGGCTCATTGTATACTCCAAGTTAAGAACCAAGACAAGCCAACTGTTCATTTCCTACTTGTATTCAAAGCTATAGAACCAATAGCCTGTTGATCTACACCTTGAACCCATATTTTCTGGCCTGGAAGCTAATGCTCTCTTTGTTCTAGAACTGGACCAATCTTGCAGAGCAAGGCCCTGAGCCTTGCTCACCCTTTAAGAGTCAGATTCTAGAGCTTAGACTCCATCTACATCATTGGTCCATATCAAGACTGCTTCAGAACATAGATCACCCCGCACTGTTAAATGACTTCACTCAGAAAGCCTAAATTAACAAGGGAATGAATCCAGAATGTGTCGACATGGGCACATCGCATCATGTTTGTGATGAGGTCATTGCTGTAACAAAGACTAATAAAAGTCCAGCCACCCTTCTGGTGACACAGGGCCATTGTCACTGCTCCTGGGTAGATCTATCTTTAAGACCTTAAAGATTTTCTGAAGTTCAGGGTGTCCAGGTTCACATTAAGGATCCAGTTCTCACAGGTAGCATAGAGTGAGCAGAGGGGGCTCTGAATTCCTCAGATCTCTCACCCCGGCAGTCCCCCAAATAAGTCCTCACCCCTACAGTCCCCCAATCGTCAGTCATAGACTCGGGAGGGTCTCTGCCACCCTTCATAGTTCCCATTTCTCCATGGGACAGAACTATGTCACTTCACTTGGTTTTCTGTGTTTCTCATACAAAGACACTTCTCTGTCATGGCATGCCTGGTGCCCCTGTGCTCCCTGCACGGGACTGCTGTCACCACTGTGGAAGGTGTAGGAAGCATCAAAACCAGGCTGCACCCCGTGCAGGTAAGTGCACATCCTGATCCTCTCACTCTGACTTCATTTCACCAAATGCTGTGCAGACTGTGTCACCTCCACCTTCCAGTCATGACCAGACATGGGGAGCTTTGAACTCTTGATGATCAGAATGATAACATCCACTCAGTGACTTCAGAAAACTTAAGTCATTTCATTAAATGGTCATCTATCATTACTTTTTCTACTTAAATAATATCAAGATTCTAAAAACACTGTCTGATGCCTATTGCACTATAGGCTGGAGCAGATATTGAACACAAGCTATAGCATAAATGCCTCTGAGGGGGCTGGGACTATAGCTATTGACAGAGTGTTGGTATTGATTCCACTGCCATTGTCACAGGAGTTTGGGGAGTCACAGCCAGATCAACCCACACTCATTCTTTTTAGACAGGAGCATCCCAAGGGTCTCTTAGTTTAACCACATGAAGGTCAGCCCCAAAGAGTGCAGCAGAGATGAGGGACCCAGAAGAGTCTCCTCAAGTCTTCTAGGAAGTCATATAAGATGCTCACAGCAAAGTCAACACACTGGAATCCCAGGCATTATATTCTAAACCTAGAGCCAAGCCACCCAAGCTTTGGGGTTCCTAAGAGTCACCAGGAACTTGCTAAAAATTCAGATTCTGAGTCATGAAGTTTGGAGCAGGGTCCTGAGTCCTGCACTCCCTCCCGTTTCCCAGAAGAAAACAGTTCTTCCAGACCATGGACTACACTTTAAATAACAGAGACCAAAGTCCTCAGGCTCTGGAAGCTGCACTCCCTTTAAGCCACTAGAGAAAACATTAAAGAAGCATTGGGATCAGCAATGCTCTCCAAGTCATCAAAACCACACAGCCTCCTGTGAGAACTGAGCAGTGAAAGATGTGGGTGTTCAAGAAAACCAGCTTTGAAACATTCCCACAGCCTCCTAATAATTACTGATTCCTGGAGAGCTATTCTCGTGGGGAGTACAGGCTACACACTGCTAATTCCCAAATAGAAGGATCAGAGTATTTGACCCTAAGAAGTAATTAAAATGATGAGATGTGGCTTCTGAATCGATACCTTTGGGATGCCTAAGAAAGGGAAATACAGAACAGAACACAGGGGTGGGGCACATTTGCTGAGAAAGTGAGTCCTGCCACAAGAAGGGCCCAGGCTGTGGACCCTGGAGAGAGCTTGTGGCAGCAAGAGGACAGGGCTGTGACCACAAGTGTATCCTTCCAGGAGAGAATTGCCAAGAGCCACGGTACCCAGTGTGGATTCTGCACGCCCGGGATGGTAATGTCCATGTACACACTGCTCAGGAACCACCCACAGCCCTCAGAGGAACAACTCATGGAAGCCCTGGGGGGTAAGTCTGACACAGGAGTCAGGCAGAAGAAAAAGGTACTTAGAGCTTGCCCATGCCATCCCCAGCATCATCCCAGCTCTGCTCAAGTCCCAGGCCAGAGTTATCTCTGAAATAGTCTGTGCAGACACAGCAAAAGATGTCAAATCCTCCCCACACACAGCACAGGGGTCCACCGGGCTTCTCTCTCTCTCTCTCTCTCTCTCTCTCTCTCTCTCTCTCTCTCTCTCTCTCCCTCTCTCTCTCTCCCCTCTCACCACCCACTTCCCAAGGGCCAGAATCAATCAATTTCAGGCGACTACCCAAACAAAGCACAACAAACTGGCCATCATAAAACCCAGCAAATTCTCATGCAGTTCTGGAAGCATTACGTCTGGGGGCAAACTATTGACCTGACTATGCTGTGACTGGCCTCTTCATTTGAGGTTCTTGGGCCTGTCTCCAGATGTTCAAGCTCAAAAGAGAGTCATATTCATGCTCTTAGCAAATCTATTCAGGTGAGTCTGGTGCAGTGACCTAAGAATCACTGAGGGGCACACTTGACAGGCACTTTGTTTGTCTAGTGGCTCCTTTGGGATTGAGTGAATAACTGAGGGGCACACTTGACAGGCACTTTGTTTGTCTAGTGGCTCCTTTGGAATTGCTTGAATTTTCTGTTTTAGGATCCAACTGTCTAACGTAACTTGAAATACAGTTACTGTCAATAGCTAGACATCAGGGCTAGAGTCATAGCTTAGAAGCAGAATGTTATTCTAGCATGTTCAAGGCCCTGAGTTCTATTCCCCAACACTGAAAAGAAAATCTACTAGATCTATTTCAACTTTTAAAAGAAGCCAGTGGAGTGGCTGGAGATACGACTCAGTCATTAAGAGTGCTTGCTGCTCTTCCAGAGGACCGGAGTTCCGTTCTCAGCACCAACACTGGGTGTTTTACAACCACCTATAACTCCAGCCCCAAGAAATCCAACAACTTCTTCTTGCCTCCAAGGACATTTATACCCAGACATGCACACATACCCATAAATAAATGAATACATAAATAATCTAAAAACTAAGCCAATAGAACAAAAAACAAGAAGCTCACAGCCATGCTTCTCCTCTAATCAGGTAACCTCTGCCGCTGCACTGGGTATCGGCCAATTCTGGAGAGTGGCAGGACCTTCTGTATGGTGAGTACACAAGAATGGGTGACTAGAGACATGTTCTACAGAGTAAGAATGAGCGGTCAGTCAAAGCTGGAAACACAAGAATGAGGTTTGTAAGACCATCACAACCAACTGTAAGACAGACAAAGTAAGTCATGTTGGGGGATGGGGTACTCACTAGAGTTGCTAATACTTCCTGAAAACCAGGTGAGCATTACATCCACCTTTGATGTAGTCTAGATCCATACAGGGAAGTCAGTTGAGCAAGGCATCGCTCCAAAGCAGGCAAGATGATGCCTGCAAACACTTGGAGTCAATCAATGGTGTGCTTCAGTGAAAAAGGTTCCTTCCAAGCACCCAACCAACTGGGAATTCATGAACAAATAAAGAAGCTGAAATTGTAGAGTAGAAGCCAAAATCCACTCTAAGAATACAGGGAGTAGCCTCCCAGAGTGGGGGGTGCTTCTCTGAGAAAAATCAAATGAGGCTTGCATGGCAGTTAGTAAGAATTCAACTAATAATTTACTAATGTTGTGGACACTATGAATAGCATTTGACAGACACTCAAAGTGGCGTGTCTAATGACCCTCTGCTGAGAATGGGATGGATATGGGCAGGAGACTTTAAAGATTTATTTATTAGGTACATATTGTTCTGCCCGTATGTACGCCTGCACGCCAGAAGAGGGCACAAGATCTCATTATGGATGGTTGCGAGCCACCCTGTGGTTGCTGTGGGAATTGAACTGAGGACCTCTGGAAGAGCAGTCAGTGCTCTTAACTGCTGAGCTCTCTCTCCAGCCTGAGCAGAAGGCTTTAGACAGAAGGAAAAGCACCTTATATTGAAGGAACCGGCTTCCCTTTTGGCAGCCATTACAGCCGAACACATGCTTGCCATAAACCTGCCTTGGTCACGTAGAGGTCAGATGCCTGTCTCGTGACAAGGAACCCATCAGAAGTTAGTCACTAGAAAGTCAGATGCCTGTCTC